CATTCACTATACACACTCTGCATTCACTACAAACACACTACACACTCTGCGCTCACTACAAACACATTAAATTCATTATACATAATTTGCACTTACTACAAACACACTACATTCATTATACACACTCTGCACTCACTACAAAAACACTGCATTCACTATACACACTACATTTATTATACACACTGCACTCACTACAAATACACTACATTTATTATACACACTGCACTCACTACAAATACACTACATTCATTATACACACTCTGCACTCACTAAAAACACACGGCATTCATTATACACACTGCACTCACTACAAATACACTACATTCATTATACACACTATGCACTCACTAAAAACACACTGCATTCATTATACACACTCTGCACTCACTACAAATACACTACAATTATTATTCACACTGCACTCACTACAAACACACTACATTTATTATTCATACTCTGCATTCACTACAAACACACTACATTCATTATACACACTGCACTCACTACAAATACACTACATTCATTATACACACTCTGCACTCACTAAAAATACACTGCATTCATTATACACACTGCACTCACTACAAATACACTACATTCATTATACACACTATGCACTCACTAAAAACACACTGCATTCATTATACACACTCTGCACTCACTACAAACACACTACATTTATTATTCATACTCTGCATTCACTACAAACACACTACATTCATTATACACACCCTGCACTGCACTATATGCATAGGAGTGTAATTTAAAAAAAAAAAATTTAAGGGGGGGAAGGAGAGGGGAGGCGGGAATCTTGGGTTAGTTCCCACACTTTTTTCCCCAGGACTTGACCCCTGTGTAAATGACTAAGTGCAGAATCATTTTGAATGACTCTCTCTGTGCAATGTTACTGTGTGCAATGTCCTACAATAGCCCAGGGGCCCAGATTGCTGTCAGTCTGTTCTTGGCAGGTAGAACACCATATATGCAGGTACTTATAGGACTATAAAATAAACAAAATGAAACTGTTTATTTTAAGCAGACATGCAATGGAAAACAGACAAGTTTCAGCCTCATTATCTGGAGGTGCTATGATAAATCTGGCAATAGGACTCAAAATGCTGACTTATTGTTTTGCACCTCTATTTTAAAGAAAGACATTATTTGTTTATTCTTAAAGGAATAACCCCATCCTCATAACAACTTCAGGTGATTGGGGCAGGAGTGTCCATGGCTGTCTTACATTCAGGGGTTAAACTATTTTATAATGATTTAGCTCTCATATTAGGGCTCAAAAGCCCAACTCTGCTGATCCAGCTTTCTTCCTCCACAGTATGAAGACGGTAATGAACTGAAAGCAGCCAATTGAGAGAAATAATATGTTTTTGTTCAAATAGTTTTAATTTACAGGTTTTTATAGAGCAAAACAATATTGGAATAAAATAGAAATTAAACAGTTATAATATGGGGTAACAAGAAGGGAAGGGGGGAAATCTAATTAAAAGGGGGAATGACAGGTGTTTAAAAGTTATGATGTACAATACAGAGTACACTGAAGTATTTAAAAATAAAATTCAATAGTTACCATATAAATGGTATTGCAGTGTGTGTGAGATTAATTATATCCAATATTTTTTCTTTATATAATCCTGCCAAGTGTCCCAGTGAAACCGTAATATAACATTGTTAGGGGATGGTTGCCTCAATGCCAATTCATACCTTTTGTTTTCCAATGCCAAAATAAGCACTTCCTTTATGGATGGAACGGTTGGCGACTTCCAGTAGCAGGGTATGATTGACGTTATCATCATCTTATTGTGATGGGATTCCAGCATGGTTAAAATTTAGTAGGCCAAAATCTCCATGTGGCATATGTGTATGTTGTGTCAGTTGGTTAGCTACATGTAGCTAGGATACTGTCATCAGTGTACTGAGCATGTGCAGGAATGCAGGAACTGAAATTGCACTTATTTCCTTTGTCTTGGATGAGCCATGTGGTTTGACTAGATGTACAAGTCTATATTCTGCTCATTGATTGGTTAAAGGTATATGTGGGTGTAGCTATTAATGGGAGGAGTTATAGTGCTATATAAGGAATGTACACTATGTGTTGGTCTCTCAGAATGTTGGAACAGGAGTTCATCTGAGACCCGATCGGTAATGTGAATAAAGGCCTGTTACTTCCTGAAGACCTGTGTCCAATATTTCTGTGTTTGGCTTCTGCATGCTTACACTGCAACATTTCTGGTGCAATTGGGCCGGGAACCTCATCGCACGGAAGCTGGCACAGAGATTTGAGACGGTAAACTTTTACCAAACCTTCTACGCTACAATCCTGGACTTCTACTGCGTGGACCTCCTTTCGTCTCGGCGCCACTGGCCTTTTGTCCAGGAGATCATCGGCTTCTGCGCAGTGAGTCCCGGATTGTTCCGTCTATGAGTGAACCCAGGTCCAGAAATTAGCAGGTGAGATTGATACCGTTAGAGCGGTAGACCCACAAGGGGTTTTATATTTGGAACCGGTTATTGGAATCTGCCCTGTCCTTATGGATGGAAGAAGTGAAAGCGCAACACTTATCTGGAAATTAGACGCTCTGTAGTCAGCCCGTCTAATATAGGTGGTTTGGGTCAGACTGAGTTCTGGTGTAAATAGCTCATGTCGGACACCGGTGTCCTGTCTTGACTAGCGTATCTAGGGTGTAAATTTTGTTCGCTAGGTCGGGGGGACCGGGAGACTAGCATACTCTGTTGTATATTATAGTTTGCTAGATTTCACCTATCTTAACTAAGTGTGCTCTGTTGTAAATCCAGCCACTAGCTTATTGATAGTTTAATAGACTAGCTGGGTACTGTGTAAATTCTGCCCTCTAGTTCGCTATACGTGGTGTCTGGGCAGCGAAGAACTTATCGAATCTCTGGTGTATAAATAGATCGAAAGCTCTCGAGGTGCTGGCCAGTTAGAATAGTTGGGATTATTGTAAATGTTGTTAAATATATTGTAGTTGGTGAATTGGTTAACTTGTATGTCCTACTAGAAAGTTAGAGCTCTGCTGTCTAGTGGGAGTGTAAATTGTGTGTATAACTGTAAAATAGCGCACGGTACCATAACTACTGACATGTACCATAACCACTGACATTGTGTAAAAATTACTAACAATTGCTGTTTTATGTTATATGTATAATACCATAACTGTTACTAACTGATCTGTGACTTTAAAACTGTATTATAACCACTTACTAACTGTACCATAACCACTGACTGTAAAGATGAGGTTACTAGAATGTGATATAGTTGGTTAGTCAAAAGTTGATTTATAGTACGGATAATTGTAGAGATGAAATTTGTTGAAATGTTATGTGATCGGTTAGTTTATATGGATTAATAGCGTGGATAGTTGTATGGTTTGAATAATAGTTACATTGATAAGTGTATAGTCTTTGGTGGGTTTTTGATTTAATTTCGTGTGTGCGACGTCGTGATATTGTTGAGCATGTGAGGATCCTGTGTGTGTGTTTGGGCCTAGTGACTGCGCAATGTGTTGCTGGTGATAAGGAGATTGGTGTGACTGTTGAAACTGTGTGTATATTTGTACAGCTTTTTGAATCAGATGCTCTGTTGAAATAATCTTCTGATTCACAAGGCTTTGTCTTGTATGTTTAAAAAAAAAAAAAAAGTAGGGAGTAGCCTGTCCTGGTGGCCGCATGGCCTCCATGTAGCAGTCTTCACTTAAATTTAGTGCAGGGTGTACATGTGGCTGTAACTAGTAGGCTGGAATTCTATGATCAGTTTCTATAAATTGACTGTTGGAAACTGATTTGTTGAAAAACTGCCTTGGTGAATTAAACTGTGTCATATGGGAAACAATGTAGCCATATGGTGGTCAGAACTAAGGACTTAATTACAACTGCTTTGGACATCCCCTCCCCCCCTGGCATCTGATTACCAACCCCCCAAACATCCTCCAGAGCTAGAGTAGCCACGCCCCCATTCTTCCTCCCAACACTGGATAGTCAGTATTTGCACTCTCCCTGCTCTACTGTCCCCGCCTACCCACATACCTATCTGTTCCTGTGTTTCAAACTCTTGTATTTCTGTACTACCCCTCCCCCTAATCAATGATCAATGGTATCAGATGGTATATGGTCTTTATTTTAGTTACTGGATGGGCCCCTCCCAGCTTTGTCCAAAATGTCCCCTTTTACTAAACTACAAACTGAAATGTTTAATTTACCTTAGAACTAAAGATTTAATCAAGCCTAGCTAGCAGGGTGGACATTGATTAAAATAAGTAATAATAAAATAGGACATAATTAATTAAAGTCTATTTGTTTCATTTGACTTTAGGGAGGCACTCTAGGCCACCTACTGGCCATCTTCGGGAGTTACATTGATAATACATTGTTTATAACAGATAGATGTAGGATTGCTTACCCTATTTTAATATATTTATTGCTATAAGGTTTTATTTTATGTATAAATATATTAAAAGTTGAGTTTTCTTATTAGACCCATAAAGATTATTTTGATACAATTACCCTCTGGTGACACCTACTGGTAGGTTTTTGGTTTAACACTTTAAACAAAAAGTTTTTTCATCCACCAAATGCCGACTAATAAAATTAGCTCACCCCCTTTCACCTATTTTACTAATCCTAGACTGGAACCTATTATTGGGCAGCCTTGCCGAAGTCCCATATTAGACACTGCTTGAGTCAAATAGATTGTACACTTCTTTCAATCCTGAAAACTTCCGAATGATAGACTCAGCATTTGTCAGCCAGGCCCAAGGTGATAGTAATAGGGAGACAGAGGTAAAGTGGGAGCAAGAACGTAAAATGAGGAAAAAGGCAGATATGCTAGCGGTAGCTATCTTAAGTGTAGAAAGACAGGGAAGTGAATAGAGGAGACGAGAATAGGCTGAGCAAGGGACTTTAAGTAGGAATTAATGTGCGTATTGTAGAAAGGAGGGACATTGGAAGAGTGAGTGTCCACAGAGAGAGCAGTATGAAGGTGATAGACAAGGAGAGAGAAGGGTATGAGGAGGTTATAGTGGTAGTTATAGAGTAAGAGGAAGTTTTAGAGGGAATGGTGGGAATAGTAGAGGAAGTGTTCAAGGAGACAGATACTATCCACCCACGCAGAGACCTAGAGAAAGAGAGGATAGAGATTTTGTGGGTCTGGCTGACACTATCATGGAAGACTATTGATACCGACTGGGCTCCATCCCACTTGGTCGAGCGGAGCCTATGGTCGATGTAGCAATAGGGGGAAAGAGAAGTTCTTTCATGATCGACACAGGTGCTGAACATTCTGTGGTGACTAAGATGGTGGCTCCGCCTTCGGGGAAGACTATAACTGTGATAGGAGCTACTGGGAGAAGTGCAGCTAGACTGGTTCTTAAGAGTCGCACTTGTATTCTGGGAGGCCATGTGGTGAAGCATTAGTTCCTATATATGCCAGAGTGTCCGATTCAACTTTTAGGATGAGATCTATTATCGAAGCTTTAAGCTCAGATAACCTTTTACCTAATGGATTAACATCTCTGAAGTTTAAGGGATTACCAGGCATAATGGTGATATCGGTGCCAAGGGAAGAAGAATGACGCTTCTATTCCATAGTGACAAGTGTTAACCCTAAGAGTGATGAATCCTTACTTGACATTCCAGGAGTATGGGAAGAAAATAATCCTCCAGGACTTGCTCGTAATATCCCACCAATACATATTGAGTTAAAGCTCGGGGTGTATCCTGTTAGCCTTTGTATGTTGTTCTTTTATCTACCCCAACAGCTGTAAAGGTGGCGGAAGTGACTCCTTGGATTCATCATTCTAAGGTTAAACCAGCAGCAGACTCTTGGCAAGCTACTCCAGATCCTGAGAATCCTTGCAGGACCCGGTTGAAGCGTGCAACTCAGTCGGAGTGACGAGGGGATATCGAGACATTCTAGTTAAAAGTCTACAAAGATCATCAAGTAGGTGTTTTGACGGCCATAATAAAGCCTGACCACCTGCCTACGTGTCATAGCCAGAGTATCTTGAAGGGATCTCTGTGAAGGAAAGTGAGGATCAGAAGAACAACATCCTTGCAGCCCTCACAATCGGGAAGCTGAGAGGCCATCGCACGGTCGAAGAAAAATGAGGATTTCAGGAATAATGTGTTTTATTGTGTCTTAGTATTTTTATGATTTTTCAGGAAGGTAGGAGTACAGACATACCGAATTGCGATAGTTGCATTAAGACTACTAAAACAGGTAACCAAATATCCCAAACTCTCATCTGGCACTCACAGTATGAATGTAAGGGATCTGTATCTAGATGTAGATATTTGGATATTGATTATAGTGTGTGCAAGCCAATATCAGGAGAGTCTAAATGTTTTGATCCCCATTTCCAACCCCGTACAATTTGGTTGGTAATTCGGAATAGTAACTCCCAGGGGACATTAATAAATAGGACTGTGATAAGCACCATACATTCCGCGGGTATTCTACTATTTGATGCATGTAAGGCGATTTCGGGTAGTGGAAGACTTTGGAATGTATGTGGTAATCTTAAATGGGAACGAACTTATGGGTTTAATGATAAATACTTATGTCCCAGTAAAAGATCTACTGATCCTGATTGCCCAAATAGAGACTAACTTCTGCCCCTATTTGTCATGTGTAGGTTGGGCAACCTGGGAAAAACAGTGGATCAAGATATGATTATCCAAAGGTTGCCTACCACACCATACTGTAAAACTATGTGTGTAACCCCGTTCACATGACCATTTCCAATCTGCAGTACTTTATTGACAGGTTTGGAGGTCTGTTTGGGTTTCAAATATATGGCACAGGAGTAGATTCAGGAACAATAATATATGTAGGTCTTGAAACTGAGACAGTGGCAACTCAAACTCATCAGGTTTCTCATTCCTTTTATGAGGAGATGAGTACTGAGGATAAAATTCCCCATAATGTTAACAACCTATTTATTGATTTGGCTGAGGGTATTGCAGGTAGTCTTAATGTAACTAATTGCTATGTGTGTGGAGGTACTAATATGGGAGACCAGTGGCCATGGGAGGCAAAGGAAATATGGTACCCTGGCTCTGAGACATATGAACAACAGATACCTTTCCAGTCTGATCATCAAGTAAGTACTAGAAGTAAATTGGAATGGTGGTTAAAAACCTCCATTATAGGTTATGTTTGTATAGCCAGGAAAGGGACAATGTATAACACGTCTGTAGGTGAGCTAACTTGCTTGAGACAAAAAGCCTATAATGTTAATACTAAAATACTACTTGGTGGTCAGCTTCAAATGTCTCGGAACCTACTAATCCGTTTGCCAATTACACTCATTAAAAGGAGGTATGGTTTGACTTATCGGCTACATCTAGTTGGAAAGCCCCAGCAAATTTATACTGGATTTGTGGTAAGAAAACTTATTCGGAGTTACCACAAGATTGGGAAGGGGCATGTGTATTAGGTATGCCAAAGCCATCCTTCTTCTTGTTGCCAATCGAAACAGGAGAGACCTTGGGAGTTAAGGTTTACGATGTAAATCATAAAAGGGAGAGAGCATCCTTGAATACAGGTAGCTGGGAAGATAATGAGTGGCCCCCTCAACGTATTATTAATTATTATGGACCTGCTACTTGGGCAGAAGATGGCACTTATGGATATAGAACTCCGATTATATATGCTCAACCGCATTATTAGACTACGGGCGGTAGTTGAGATTATTACTAATGAGACAGCTCAAGTGCTTAATCTTCTAGCTAAGCAAAATACCAAGATGTGATCAGCCATATACCAGAATAGGCTAGCCCTTGATTACTTACTAGCAGTAGAAGGAGGTGTATGCGGAAAGTTTAATCTAAGTAACTGTTGTCTGCACATAGATGATGAAGGGCAGGCAGTGGCTGAACTTACAAGCCACATGGTTAAATTTGAGCATGTACCTACTCAGGTCTGGAATGGGTATAACCTAAGTAGTTGGTATGAGCAGCTTGGAGGAATTAAGACATTAGTAGGAGGAGTAGAATTTATTATATTTTTTTTGTGCCTCCTCCTGCCCTGTCTAATTCCACTAGTGGTAAGGTCCCTACATAGTATTATAGAGAGTACTATAGAGAGAAAGACAGCTGCCCATGTAATGGCTGTCTGGAAGATATGATCCCCTAGCCGGAAGAGAATATATTCAGGATGAAGAATGTTGAAGGAGTTTTTAAGATGCTTACAAGGTCTACTCTGGTTCAATGGCTACTTGAGAGATGTAGGTAAAACTGTGATTGGTGATGCATCTGGAATAATGTTATATCAGAGGCATCAAAAGGGGGGAATGTGATGGGATTCCAGCATGGTTAAAATTTAGTAGGCCAAAATCTCCATGTGGCATATGTGTATGTTGTGTCAGTTGGTTAGCTACATGTAGCTAGGATACTGTCATCAGTGTACTGAGCATGTGCAGGAATGCAGGAACTGAAATTGCACTTATTTCCTTTGTCTTGGATGAGCCATGTGGTTTGACTAGATGTACAAGTCTATATTCTGCTCATTGATTGGTTAAAGGTATATGTGGGTGTAGCTATTAATGGGAGGAGTTATAGTGCTATATAAGGAATGTACACTATGTGTTGGTCTCTCAGAATGTTGGAACAGGAGTTCATCTGAGACCCGATCGGTAATGTGAATAAAGGCCTGTTACTTCCTGAAGACCTGTGTCCAATATTTCTGTGTTTGGCTTCTGCATGCTTACACTGCAACATTATCTATTCTATTGGTTGCATCAGGAAATCTCTTAAACAATCCCAAGTCTGGTGTGAATGTCACAATGGATGGATCTATCATTTTAGTTAAGGAATGGATATTCTTCCATAAATATAAAAAAATTTCACAGTGCCACCATATGTGAGACAGTGGCCCAAGGTTACCACAGCCCCTCCAGCATCTATCCAAAAAATCTTTATTCATTTTGTGTAACCTTGAAGGGGCCTGGTGCCAACGGTACAAGATCTTGTAATGGTTCTCCATATGGCCAGAGCATGGCCAGAGCATCCCTTTAAGGGATGTAGATATCCTAAACCAGGGATAGGCAACCTCCGGCACTCCAGATGGTGTGGACTACATCCCCCATAATGCTCTTACACCCATAATGCTGGCAAAGCATCATGGGAGGTGTAGTACAAAACA